TTTAATTTGAGTCAACTCGGATTTTTAATTCTCGTATCTTGCACAAGAATAAACTTGTTTTGGTCATAGCCGAAGTTCTAGAAAGGGTTACGTGTCGTAAAACCTATGGATCTGTAGCCACAAGTTTTTTCTTTCATTTGGAGTTGGTTTCGTCTCAATCAGAGTCAAAGATCAAAAGTTATAACCGATATACTACAGCCTGTCCAATTTTTTTTTTATATCTTTTAGTGTCAAGCTAGTCTTAGCCAAGTCCTTTAATCCGCGTCAACTGGTATAACATAGGATTATATATTTTTATTTTTATTTATTTTTGTATACCCATGAGTCATAACTCTTCTAGAATCTAGTCCTCTTCGTAGTTTCTTGTGATCAATTTTTGTGCTAACCTAACATGTGTTCTTTGTCTTTGATGGTGGTTGATCTTATTTATGACTAACGATTGCCAATGGACCGTTTTCACCTAGTAAATAGCATAAACATTAAAATTGGACAAAATTAATCAAGTTAGTTTGTCTTTTAGTCTTCCGTGCTATTTGGTCATTGGGTCCTTTGTTTTTCACAACGTCCTCATGTCTAGCCATGCAATCATACCACGAGTCTTAATAAACTCACCTAATCACACATGTTGAGTCATTGCACACACTTTGTCTTCGAGTAATGCACTATATTCTGTATGTTGTATCAAAAACAAGCACATCTCCATATATCCTATAGTCAGTCTTCTAGCATCACTGAATCTCTCCAAAAGATATTGGAAATTCTTCCTTCCTTGTCAAACTTCACTCTAATAAAGAAGTTTGGATCCTCTGATTGTTCCTAATTTAAAATGTTCACTAAAGTTTGAGCATCTCTAGCCTCAATTTGTTCCATTCTTAACCTTGATCAGAAATTCAGATGATCTACAACACTATGACCTACATTCTGTTCTCCTCCAGCCTCTGTAGCCATGTAATTGTAAGTGTCCATTGTAGTTAGACCTGAAGATTTCATTGTTTTTATTGCTTCAGCTTTTTCTTCTGTCATTTTTCTTTCAGAACGATGCAAATAATGCCACTGTGACCTTGTTAGCTCATGGTTATGCTGAATAACATGAGCCACTACCTCAAACTGTCCTTCTTTACTCACTTTTGCTCTTATGCATGCCTTGCAATTCGATCTTGTAATGGCTACTTGTCTTGGCTTTCTTATTTTTACATTCACATCCTCTTCATCAACCATTTCAACTAACTTTGTTTTCTTGTCACCTGAATTTCTCTTTCTTTCAGCAGAACACACATAATTTTTCTCAGTTACTATTTTTGTGTGTGTCTTGTTTCTAGTTGTATGCTTTCGTATTGAAAACCCCAGTATAGTAGCATGTTTTTCATACAATTCCAAAATTTCTTCAAAAGTTTCTCTTACCACACCAAGAAATGAACCTCTAAGATCTAAACCAGAAGCATGAATTGGATTTGTATCTGTGATTTAATAGATTATAACCAGAGGCAACATATCATTCAAATTAGAGGCAACAAAAGGGTAACATTTGTTTGAAAATAGGGTCACTTTTATGCATGAAAAGGGTAACATTAAGGCATACAAAGGGTTAATTTTTGCATACAATCTGAATTTTCTGCATACAATCTTAGGGTAACATTTGTGCATAAATAGGGTAACTTTTATGCATGAAAAGGGTAACTTTAAGGCATACAAAGGGTTACTTTTTGCATACAATCGTAATCTTCTGCATATAATCTTAGGGTAACATTTGTGCATAAATAGTGTCACTTTTATGCATGAAAAGGGTAACTTTAAGGCATACAAAGGGTTACTTTTTGCATACAATCTGAAAATTTTATAGAAATTACCTTCAGTTGCATTTGATTTGATTGTTTGTTCTGAATTTGAATCAATTGATTTTCCAGGAACCACTTGATTTTTGCATTCTCAATTGCTTCTTCTACATTGTTAATTACTTCTTCTGCATCGTCTCCATTGTTTGGATTGTTGAATATTGGTACAAATTCATCTCCAACACTCTTAGTTTCTTCTTCTTCTATAATCGATCGATTTCAAATTCAGTTTCAATTTGCCTCTGTTCTTGTAGCAATTCGTGGATGAGATTGCTACAATTTGTGGTATTGAAAGTCAAATTTTCCATTGATGATCGAATTCTCCAATTTGTGTGTTTTCACACTTTCTCTCTTCTCAAATGATGATCGAATTCTGCAATTTGTAAGTTTTCTCACTTTCTCTGTCTTTAATTGATGATCGAAATTTTCAATTTGTGCGTATTTTCACCTTTTTTCTTCTCAATTGATGATCGATTTCTACAATTTTTGCATTTTCTCACTTTCTGTCTCATCGATGATCAAGAGCTGCGTTTTCTCACTTTCTCTCTCCTCCATTGTTGTTCTGCGTTTTTTTGATTTTGAGGTATTAAATTCCGCGATTTTGTTTGTTTTTTTTAAAAAAAAAACCTAGTAAATGAGTGGCACGTGCAAACAGTCCGATGTACAGTAAAAATATTGTACACCGGGTGCATGCAAAAGGGATTGATTGAAGATAATCTTACGGAGTAATATGAGGAAGTGGGACTTGCCCCTCTTTCCCATGTTTCAGTTACCAACCCTTTACCTTTCCCTATCTTATATATAATTTAAGAGTTTTTTTTTTGCAACTTTCATTTACAGCACTCGAAATTCTCATCCTTGCAATTCTAGCCCTTCTATTTTTTATTTATATTTATTTTTTTTTAAATAACATAACCACCATTTTCACTCATAACTACCCATATCACTCAATTAAATCTAGCCCTCTATTTAAAAAAAAATATATATATATATCACTTCTACAATTTTTTTCTCTTCTAAATATATATACTACATACACTCTAGTATTAAGTAATTTAAAAAATCTAAAAAATGAATATCCAAGAAATGCTCTCTGCAAAACCCATCCTCGTGAGGGAAAATACAAACCCTAAGGAAAGTTCAATTTCAATAGAAGAAATAGATCAATTGGATCGATCAAATAAAAAACCTAAGAGAAAGATTACTCAATGGATTTTTGATAGAACTGATAATGGAGTCCAGAACAATATGGACATTGATGCCAATACTAGTCAAGTGGTGCTCAATAATCCTCAGATGATTACTCCAACTGCTGCTCAGAATACTGGTGGGAATATGCCATTATCCCAGGCGACAGGGAAACAAATGTCTTTCAGAGATGTAATGAGGAATACCCAATTAGAGAATGAGGCTATGAGTGCTGAGTTCGCTGCTGGAGATGAAGATGATGTTTCGGATGATGACCTTCCCCCGGAGAACTTTGAAGACAATGACAGATGCCCTGTTATTCTGCTTACAAAAGAAGAAAAAAGGGCTATCCGTAGGCCATGGAGAAGCACCCTTATCATCCGTACGTTTGATGGAAGTCTGGGTTATATGGGATTAATGAAACGTTTGAAGAAAAAATGGAAATTAAAAGGTGATTTATCTCTTACAGATATAGGAAGCAAATATTTCATTGCAAGGTTCAATAACCAGGAAGACTACAACTTTGTGCTGACTCAGGGGCCTTGGCTAATTGATGACAAGTACCTGACAATCAGAAAATGGACCCCGGATTTTATCCCGGAAGAAGCATCAATCAAAGTACTAACATCATGGGTTAGAATTCCAAATCTCTCGGTGGAATACTTTGATAAAGATTTCCTCAAGAAAATTGGTGCTAAGATTGGTAAAGTTATCAGAGTGGATAAATCCACAGCATATGCAAAAAGGGGCCAATTCACCAGACTGAGTGTAGAGATCGATTTATCGAAACCTTTATTATCAAAATTTTGGTTGAAAGGAAAGATTTGGAGGATTCAATATGAAGGAATCAAGCAAATATGCTACAAATGTGGTAAATTAGTCCATACTGAGGAACAATGTGCCTCTACACAAGCCAATGAGGAGATGATAGTAGATCAAGTTAATGATATGGTCTTGAATGAGGCTAACAATGGAATAGCACAGGAAGCTAATCATGTCCAGAGGCCAGAGGAAAACCAAGATTTTGGTTAGTGGATGTTAGTGAAAAAACCAATCAGAAAACGTCCAAATAAGCCTGATAAAAATAACCCGATGACCGGAAAAGATGATACTCCGGTGAATAAAAACCAAACAAAAGGAAAAATACAAATTCAAAATTCAAAACAAGTCAAAGATGGAGATTTGGGGTCCAGATTTGAGGCGCTAAATCAGGAGATATTGGAGGAAGAAGAGCAATCAAATGCTATATCTTTGGAAAAGATAAACTCAAAAGATTTAGCAAATAATTCTACTCAAGATGCGTCCGAAGATAATATTGGTGACTCCACTGCCAAGCTTGGAGATAAAGCTCAGAATATTCCCCAATCTTTTAATTTCCAATTGGGAGTCAAATTACAAAAAAATAAGAATGTTAACAAATTTAAAAAAGTTAACATAAATGGAGGACAAGGTAACCAAAAGGGTACTAGTCAAAAAATAAGTCCCCTAAAGCCGATTACTAATGCCCTTGAAATAGACACTCCAGTACAAAACCAACCCCAAAGTATTTTCCCAGGAAAAGAAAATCACATCACCTCTACCAAAGCCACAAAAAAGCCTAGTGAAGAAAACGCATACTCAGAAGATACTACAGAGGATCGTGTAGAAGAGCCAGTGGATATTAGTGAAGATGGAACTGTTTTCTCAGGAGGTAATATCTCTCAATATCCCTCCAGATAAGACTCTGTTTGCAGGACAAACAATGGAGATGGCTTACATGATCACAGCCGACCCCCTGACTCACATAATGGAGGTTCGAATGGAGACTTGGATAGAACCAACACCGGAACCACCGAAATTGGTGATGAATCTCTTAATTCCAGTAGAAATTAATCGTATCATTAGATTAATTCAAGAAGCGTAAGTGTCTCTAATTTCTCTATTGATTTTATGAATCATAATCTTGCAAACTTAGCCTCGAATCTCCTGCCCATATCATGTATGGTATGGAATGTGCAAGGAGCAGGAAGTAGAGAATTTATTGATGCGCTAAAGGAAATTATTAGGGTGAATAAACCTAACGTGATACCCTTGGTAGAAACTCACATGGGAGGAGCCCAAGCTATCAAAATAGCAAATATTATTGAATACAATGGTCATACGAGAATTGATGCTCAAGGATTCTCAGGTGGTATCTGGATTTACTGGAAAAAAGAACTAGTGACAGTAGAACCAATTCATCAACATGGGCAGTATATAACTATGAACATAAAAAGAATGGGAGAGGTGCCTTGGTACTTTACTGCTGTATACGCAAGCCCAGACCCTTCAAAAAGACAGGAGCTTTGGAGGGAACTTAAAGAATTCGCCAGTACTCATAATATGCCATGGGTAATTGCAGGAGACTTTAATGATACCCGCTTCCAATGGGAAAGGAGTTCAGACTGTCCTGAAACAACGAGACGCTCTGCTAGATTTAATGAATGGGTGGAGGATATGGGACTACTTGAAGTTGAATTTAGTGGAGCTTCCCATACTTGGTTTCGTGGTAAAAATGTTGATACTTGGCAAAGTGCTCGTCTTGATAGGGCAATTTGTAATAGTGACTGGAGCCTTCGTTTTCCTAATGCATCAGTCAAGCATCTACCAGCCATACAGTCGGATCATACACCCATTCTAATAGCCCCGAATGGTTTTGCTCCCATTGCTGACATTAACCGACCTTTCCGATTCCAAGCAGCTTGGATGACTCATGAAAACTTTAGAGATTTTGTGGAGAGTAAATGGAAAAAAGATGCTCCATTAATGCCTCAACTCCACTCCATGGCAGAAGAGTTACAACAATGGAATAAAACTATCTTCCACAATATTTTTAAGAAAAAACGTAACCTCTTGGCTAGGATTGCTGGGGTCCAACGTGCATTAGCACTCCAAAAAGCTCGGGATTTGATTAAATTGGAGTCTAAACTCAGGGGAGAACTTGACGAAGTTTTAGCTCAAGAAGAATTACTTTGGTACCAAAAGTCAAGGGTTGATTGGATTAAAGATGGTGATCGAAATACGACCTTCTTCCAGCTAAGCACCATAGCCCGTAGATGGAGAAATAAAATCTCAGCAATTAGAGAAGCTCCAAATGGTGAATGGATTACTGGAAAAACAGAAGTGCAAGCAAATATTGTAAGTTACTTCCAAAAATTATTCGAGTGTGACAATACCCCCTTCAATGAAAACTTACCAAGGGATATATTCCCAGAATTTACTACTGCTGCCTGGCATAATTTAACTAGGCCCTTTCTAAAGTGTGAATCGATAGGGTGATTAAAGAGATGGGAGCTCTCAAGGCCCCGGGGCCAGATGGATTCCAGGCATTATTCTTTCAAAAAAATTGGGACTTGGTGGCTGAGAATGTTTATAAAGTTGTACTTGATGGGAAAAGGCTTACCTCAAGATATAAATGAGACTTTCTTGGTTTTAATACCAAAGGTTGATAATCCGGAACTAGCATCACAATTCCGGCCTATTAGCCTATGTAATGTGGCGTATAAAATCATTACAAAAGCTATAGTTAATAGGATAAAACCTATGATGCCACATCTCACCTCTTGCAAGCAATCAAGTTTTGTTCCAGGTCGTCAAATTACTGATAACATTGTTATCGTACAAGAAGTCATCCATACTATGAAAAACAAAACAGGTTCTAAGGGGTATATGGCTATAAAAATAGACTTTGAGAAGGCATACGATCGACTAAGATGGGATTTCGTCAGAGACACGCTAATGGAAATCAGATTTCTAATTCTTTTAGTGGATACCATAATGGAATGCATCACTACATCTTCTATGAGGGTGCTATGGAATGGAGAACCGACTCACGCGTTTACTCCAACTAGGGGTATACGACAAGGGGACCCATTGTCACCCTACATTTTGGTGCTTTGTATGGAGGGGTTAAATCATATTATTGAAGAATCCATTATCCTAGATAAATGGAAACCAATTAGAGCAAGTCGTGAAGGGCCAAGATTATCAAACTTAGCATTTGCGGACGATGTTATACTGTTTGCAGAAGCTTCAAAAGACCAAGTAATTATTATAAAAAATTGTTTGGCTCGTTTTTGTGACTCCTCTGGTCAAAAGGTGAGTAATGCTAAATCTAGAATTTATTTCTCATAGAATGTGAGGAATAATGTGCAAGATGATATAGGGCTTTGGATATAGAGGCAACAACAGACTTGGGGACATATTTAGGTATGCCAACTCTGACTGGTCGTGTGATAAGGGAAACATTTGGATACCTTTGTGAAAGAATTGATAGAAGTTTAGCAGGCTGGAAATCGAAACATCTTTCTCTTGCTGGCCGAATTACTTTAGCTAAATCCACAGTGACGACCATGGCATCATATGTTATGAAAACTGCTCAAATTCCAAGAACTATCTGTGATGACATTGATAAAAGAACTAGAAGGTTTATATGAGGAGGAGATGAAGAGAAGAAACGAATTCACCTCATATCTTGGGAAAATCTGCAAAAACCAAGAGAATTGGGGGGACTTGGCATACGTTCATCAAGGCAAGCTAACTCAGCATTCCTCACCAAACTTGGCTGGAGACTCCTCACTGAACCAAATGCCTTATGGTCAAGAGTTCTTCAAAACAAATATTGCAAAGGGCGGATAGATATAGACATGTTCGAAACAAAAACAAACATGTCTAACGTTTGGAAAGGTATTACAGAAAATGCCCATATCCTATATAAAGGGGCAAGAACAGCTGTTAGTGATGGATCAACAACACTTTTTTGGGACCACAGATGGGCTTGCTCAAAGCCACTCCGAGAGCTGGCTGTCACAACAATACCACTTGACATAGAAGGAGCTACGGTTGCTGAAATGTGGAATGAAATTGAAGGGTGGAAGTGGGAAATATTTGCTGATTTATTACCTCAAAATGTGCTAAGAGAAATTGAGGCTCATGCCTTAATTAAAGACCCTGATAGAGGAGATGTTTTCTATTGGGCTGGTAGTTCAAAAGGTGGCTTTTCAATTAAATCAGCAATGCAAATTATAAGGCAAGATAATGAAGAGCACGAAGATGGTTCATGGAATTTGGTTTGGAGACTGAGAGTTCAGCAGCGAATTAGAGTTTTTCTATTGTTGGTTCTCCATGACAAAATCATGTGTAATGCCAACAGGTTTAAAAGAGGCCTGACAGATGAACCTTGCTGTAAGCTCTGTCCTGAAATAGAGGAAAACACCCTGCATGTTTTACGTGATTGTAAGGCAGCTAAGGAAGTTTGGCTTCAGGTAGGAGGACCAGCCCATGCTCCAGATTTTAGAAATGGCTCACTAACACAGTGGACAGTGAGGAACATCAGAGTACAGCAGCACAAGGATATGTCTCCTGAATTCTGGCCTACCTACTTTGCCATAGTACTTTGGTGGATTTGGAGATGGCGAAACGCAGTAGTGTTTAATCGATCCAATGATATTCCAATTGATGTAAGACAATTTCTCTTACAACGTTTTGAAGAAGTGTGGCGTGTGCTTGGAGATGGAATTACAAGTTCTTCTCAAATTACTGCTGCAAGAAGAGAAGAGTATATCAAATGGATTGCTCCTCCAATGGATTGGCATGCCTTAAATTCTGATGGTGCAGCGAAAGGATGTCCTGGCCTGCAGGGGGAGGTGGTTTGATCAGAGATACTACAGGAAGGATGAAGTATGCATACTCTCTTAATTTGGGGAATTGCTTTGCTTTCAAAGCTGAAGTATTAGCAGTTGAATATGGTCTGGAATTGGCAAAAAAGATGGGAATTACTAAGCTCCAGATCCAATTAGATAATCAAGCTGTAGTTCAAATTCTGACTAATTCGAGTGAGTATAGTGGCGAATGTATTCATGATGTTAATCACTGCAAGAAGCTAATTGCAAGGCCAGAGTGGAACGTAGAAGTGAAGCATGTATATCGAGAAGCAAACCAAGTTGCAGATTGGCTTGCCAATCAAGGAGTCCAGCAGAATAACAAATTCCAGTTGATTCAAGTCTCACCCCTAGCTCTAGGGCGTATTTTACATAATGATGTAGTAGGTGTGGCTTTGCCACGTTTTGTTCTCCCTTAGTTTAGCTTTTGTTTTTCCTTTTCGGGCTTCCGCCCTCGTGTGCACCAAAAAAAAAAAAAGTAAGTAATTACGGAGTAACACACTATCTAGAAAGCCCGAGGATTTTTCAATCCCTTCCACTTTTCTCTTGTCCTATGCAATTCCCTAATTCAAAAATTTCCCTGTAAACAAGCTTCAAGCTATCAACAATGGAGGCTCTTACTAAAATCAACTATAAGCAGCCGCCATTGCCGCTCTCTCCCCGCTACCATAACCGCCCATCTTTCTCAACACCCATCTCTTCAATCTCCTTCAACACCAAATTTTCTCGTCCTTTCCCCATTAAATCGTTGTCATTCAAAATTAGATCTAGTTCATCTCCAAATCAATCGTCAATGGCTGATATCGCGAAAATTTCAGCAAAACCTAAAACCCTTAACCCTTTCTCTCTCCTCAAAACCCCTCTTTCAATTGCCGTTGCCGCGACCGCAATTTTCTTCTCTGGGTTGGGTTACAGGCCGTTGATTGCAAGAGCTGAGCCAGCTGCACCGGCTATGGTTGAGACGTCAGAGAAGGGAGAAGATGTAAGTTTCAGCGAGGAGAGAGAAAAAAAGCTTGAGGAAGCTGTTGCGGCGAACCCGAATGATGTCGAAGCATTGAAATCGTTAATGGAAGCGAGAATCAAGAACAAGAAGCTTCCAGAGGCAGTGGAGGTGTTAAACAGGTTGATTGAGCTGGAACCGGAGGATGTTGAGTGGCCATTATTGAGGTGTCACATGTACACCTATATGGGAGAATCGGAAATGGCGAAGTCGGGTTTCGAAGAGATCATAGCTAAGGACCCGCTTCGTGTTGAGGCGTTCCATGGTCTTGTAATGTCGGTTTCGCAAGGGGAATCGGATGGGAAGCAGATGGAGGAAGTCACTAGGAGGATTGAAGAGGCGACAGAGAGGTGTAAGAAGGAGAAAAAGAATGAAGAAATGAGGGATTTTAAGCTGTTGATGGCACAAATTCGAGTTATTGAAGGGAATTATGTGGAAGCATTGAAGGTTTACCAGGAACTAGAGAAGGAAGAGCCTAGAGATTTTAGGCCTTATTTGTGTCAAGGAATTATTTACACATTGTTGAGGAAGAAGGATGAAGCAGAGAAGCAATTTGACAAGTATAAGAGGCTAGTGCCAAAGGGTCATCCTTATGCAAAGTATTTTGATGAAAATATGCTTGCTACTAAGGTATTTTCACAAATGGGGGAGAATGAAAGAATGAAAATGGGGTCACAAAATTAGTTGCTTCAGTTTAAGGAACTTATATTCAAGTTTTGGTTTTTATATTTGATTATGTTTTAATTTTATTTACGGTGCTAGTTTATGTGTTAAGAGTTTTACCATCATTAGTGGAAGATTGAAAGAAAATCGAATTGAGTTATTTAGTGACAAAACTATGAGTAGTTTTTAGTATGGCATTGTAGTACATTGAGTAATTTTCTGTCAGAAATGAAAAATTTCAAGGCTTGGTTCCATGTTCTATACTGCTTATGATTTTCATTTGTGAAGAGTAATTTCAGGACTTGAAAGCAAATGTCATCAACAATAACAATAGTTATTTGTTCTTAGATTTTCATGAATCAGCGTACCTTTGATTTTCATGGGTAGATTGCATATTGGGTTGGCCAATATATATTACATATTTGAACTAGTTTTTGAGGTTTATATGTCTATGACAAGCCAAAGAAAATCCACGATGATGAGTTGTTATATGATAGTATGGTACATTGTATGGAAGTTGAGTTATTCGGTTAATAAACTACTAATGTACAATGCTTGCTTCCAAGTTTATTTGATTATCATACACTGCACGAGTAATATCAAAAGGAAACCCAAGAAGCAATAATAATTCAAAACAATATTTGCTTGATAATTTTTGCAAATATGCTGATATCTTTAAGTTTGGTAGGGGTTGCATATTGGGTTGGCCAATTTATGAGCAAGTTTTTCTAGTTCATTCTTACTGGTTTTGCTAGGGGACTGGGGAGAATGATAATTTTATCCTCTATCTCTTAATTTTGCTAGCAATTTGCTTTAGATCATCCCTGATTTACTTACATGATTTCAGCATTCCAGTTAGAAGATATTCCTTATCTATTTTTGAGCTATGTTTCTTATGCATATCTTCGGCAATTATGTAAAAATATTGAACTTTTTGATTGAAAAGATAACACTGA